GGTACAAAATGTCTACCTTTATATTTCCAACCCTCACAATCAGTCCTGATAACAATTACTCACTATTGTCTCACAAGAGACATATCTGCATTTCCTTTCATCAACTCTGCCTAGACAGATTGGATAACACTCAGTGGAGATTCTACCTTCCTCCATGCCCTCTGGATCTAGGTTCCCTCTTATAAGCCAGTCACTTCTTACCTTTGTACCCCCCCTCCCCCCCATTTTGGGTAGTGTGGCCTTTAACTTTTGCAATCTTCTCAGTGTCTTTCCCTGCCTCCATCAAGTTTTTGCTGATTTCCCTGCTATTGTATATACTGCTTGTCCTTGACCAAAGTTAACATGTGTCTATCCTCTAGCCAGTAATTTACCTTCCTTCCCTCTCCTACCTTTGATAACCAACAAAGAATGAGGTGTTTTTGATGCACAAAATTATATTGCCTGCAAATAGACACCAGCATGGCCCAGTAATTCTTCTAGTTGCTATATATCCTAGAGAAACAAAAGTCTTAACACGAATAGCTATATGCTCAAGTATGTTCAAAGAAGCATTATTCACAAAAGCAAAAAGATGGAAAAAAACCTAAGTGTCCATCAACAGATGAATGGATAAACAAACTCAGGTACATACACACCATGGAACACTAAGTTACAGATAATGATGTTTCTAAGAAACACCTCCTAACAAAGATAAATTTGGAGGGCATTATGCTAAGTGAAATTCATTAATCACAAAAGGGCAAATATTTCATGAGACCACTACTATAAAGACATTTGAAAAAGTAAAGAAAGGTTTAAATACAGAAACAAACATTCTATAAAGGTTACCAGAGGTGGGAGGGGAAAGTAAAATAAATTACTAGCCAAAGGACTGTTGTTAAGGATCACTGAATCAATTCCGACTCACAGCGACTCTGTATAGGATTTCTGAGGAGCAGCCAGTGGGTTTGAGCTGCCAATCTTATGGTTCGCAGTCCAGTGCTGATCCTACAGGGCCACACCATACAGCTTAATTTAGGTGTAGGGAAAAGCAACACACAATAAGGGGAGGTCAGCACAAAATGGTCAAGGCAAAGGAAGACACTAGGAGAAGCACAAGAGTTAAAGGCAAAAAGTTAAACCGTATTATATCCAGAATTCTGCAGTAACAGTAATAATGTACACACTCAAGGTGAACAGTGGTGGGAATGCAAATGGGACTATACCCATGAATATGTACGTACATATAAGTTTTACAGAGGCTATTTCTACATCTATATTTATATTCTACATATTCTTTTGCAGTCTTCTCAGTCTTTCCCTGCCTCTGTAGATTTTTTGCTGATTTCCTTCTTATTGTATATACTGCTTCCCTCTTACCAAAGTTAACATGTATCTATCCTCTAGCCAGTAACTTACCCTCCTTCCCCGTCCTACCTTTGATAACCAACAAAGAATAGGGAGTACAGTGGCTCTGTAGGGAAAAGCACTGGACTGTAAACCACAAGGTCAGCAGTTTGAACCCACCAGCTGCTCTGTGGAATGAAGATTTACAGCCTCAAAAACCCTATACTGATTCGCTATGAGTTGGAACAAACTTGAAGACACTTAACAAAAATTTATATGTACTCCAACTATATCTTTGAATATACTAAAACAACATTATGAAAACTTCATTGTCACAACCTAACACCCTAAGGGAATGAATTGCTGGACCTGAGGACTCAGGACCATAGTCTCAAAGGATACCAAGGGCAATTAGTGGTTATATGCTATGGCAATGAATCCAACTCACAGTGACCTTTTTGTAAGGTTTCTGAGACGGTAAATCTTTACGGAGCAGAAAGCCTCATCTTTCTCCCCTGGTAGATATGAACTGTTGACCTTGTGGTTAGCAGTTCAACTCATAACCCACTTAGTACAACATAACCCACACCAACAATTTTCTCAATTTTACTTTGGTGAGTAGCAACTGGGGTCTTAAATGATCATTTAAGGTGCAATCTTTGGTCTTTCCCTGTCCAGAGAAATGAAGAGTAAAGAAAACTAGAGATGCATGGAAACAATTAGTGCAAAGGACTAATGAATGAATCACTCAAACCCCAGGCTTCACGACTCTAAGACCAGAACTAGAGATGGGACCCAGCTGCCTCTGCTGAAGGTTCTGAAAGGATTATAATAGAGATCCTGGATAGACTGGAAGAAAACTGTGCAACAAAATGAAACCAAACAAAACAGACTTACTGGCATGATAAGGAGATTGGTGAATTCCTAAGACTATGGCCTTTAGACACCCTGAAAGCCTAGAACTGAACTAAACCCCAATGCTCAACTTTCAGCCAGACAATAGACAGGTCTATAAAGTGAATAATAACACCAATTTTTGAACAGCAAACTACAGAACAGCAAAAGGTACTGGCTTATAGTGGATAGATGCTGCTAAGCATCCTGCAACGCTTAACAAATAACTATTCAGTTCAAAATATCAACAGTGTCAAGGTTGAGGAATCTGCTTTAAAGAAGTCCTATTTAGAAAACAGATGGATCAACACAGAGGCTGCAACAATGGGCTCAAATATAGCAATTGTGAGGATGGCACAGAAACACACAGTATTTTGCTCTGTTGTGCATAAGGTTACTACGTCAGTCAACCTGACAGCACCTAACAAACAACTGGTGTGGTACTGCAGGATAAACACAGGACCAAAAGATCGGTTTGAACCACAAAGTCTGCAGTTCAAACTCACCAAATGCTCCTTGGAAACCCTATATACTGGGTTTCTATGAGTTGGAACTGACTCAACAACACTTCTTTTTTTTTTTTTTTTTTTTCAAAAACAACAATAACATCTAGAAAACAGACTCCTGAGTGGTGCAAACAGTTAATGTGGCTAGGTTGTTAAATGAAGTTAGAAGTCTGAGTCTACACAATCATTAGTTGGAAGAAAGGTATGGTATCTACTTTTTGAAAAATCAGTCATTGAAAATCCTATGTGATTATTATAGATATATACACACACATAGAGATACCTACATACATATGTATGCATATGTATGCAGGTATATATATGTACAGACATATATGTATATGGAATCCTGGTGTGGCACTACAGGATAAGCACTTGACTTCAAGGTTGGTGTGAAACACAAGGTTGGTGGTTCATACTTTCACCAGCTGCTCTTCATAAACCCTATACAGGGTCGCTGTAAGTTGAAATTAACTCAAGGGCACTTAACAATAACATCTATGTACATATTGGAGTCCTGGTGTAGCACTGCAAGGTGGGCAGTTCAAATTCACCAGTTGCTCCTTGGAAGTCCTATACAGCAGGAGTTGTTGCTGTTAAGTGCCACTGAGTTGGTTCTGACCCACAGCCATGCTGAATAGGGTTTCTGAGGATACAACATGGGTAGGGAACCTTTTTTGTGCCAAGAGCCACTTGCATATAACATCATTTGCAGGCCATCCAAAATTATCAACATAAAATTAGCCTGCTATAATGTGATGACTGGAATTGTAGTTGCCTTGGCAGGGAAAGAGCAAATGATTTCGTGTGCCTTATATGGCCCACAGACCGGATGTTCCCCACCCCTGCTATACAGGGTTGCTATGAGTCAGAACTGACTTGATGGCATTGAACATCAACACAACACACACACACACACATATATATACACATACATACATAGCTGTTAAGTGCCATAGAGGGCACAATTACAGACACTTCTTAGATATAACCAAGCACCTCACAAGATTGTTATGCTGAGTTTGAAGGACTAGAACTACAGTCTGGTGGAACATCTCAGTCAATTTGCATTACAGAATTTATAAAGTTATGCTCTACATCCTGGTTTGGTGAAAAGTATCTGGGGTCTTAAAAGGCTACAAGTGGCTAAGATACAATATTTGGTCTCTACTCAGATGGAGCAAAATAGAAAGAAGAAAACCAAGCACTTGAAGAAAAAAATAGCCTGTAGGACAGTCTACAGAAACCACAGTCTCATCTACCCTGAGGCTAGAAGAACTAGATGGTACCCAGCTACCACTACCAACAGTTCTGATCAGTCTGATCAAGATCACTAGATAGACTCTGAGAGAATGGGAGAAAAATATGATAGGATACAGAATCTCAAACTCCTTAAAAAGAAAAAAAGACAGGGCTTATTGGACTGGCTGATACTGAAGGACTCAACTAGACTACTGCTCTGAACATCTCTTCTAACACTGAACCTAAATTAACTCATGAGGTCACCTTACAGTTAAATAACAAAATGGCTCACAAAATAATGAGTATTGATCATTTGTTGTTGTTAAGTGCCATCGATTCTGACCCATAGTGACCCTGTATAGGGTTTCCAAGGAGCAGCAGGTGAGCTTGAAGCACTGACCTTGCAGTTCAAACAACTTTGCAGTCTGATGCATTAGCCCACACCACCATACCAGTACCAATCATAAGTGCTATAATATTCCTTTTAAAAATCACCTGTATGAGACCAGTACACAATTACTTTAAAACAAATGTGAGAATGAATGCAAGGGACAGGAAATACAGATTAGTGGAAACATTAACTAGACTTGAGATGATGAGAATGCTCACATCCATCATAAAGAATGTAATTGATATATATCATTGAAAAATCTGTGTAGCCTAAACTACTTTGTAAACGTTCACCCAAACCTTAATAAAATAGTGTTTTAAAAAAACCAAAAACATATGGGGCAGTTTTACTCTGAGACATGGTATCATCATGAGTCAGTTAACACACCAGCAACTGATCTTTTTTTTTAATCTAGAAAATAACATTTGAAGACAGCATTATGCATTCACCAAATATTTACTGAGCAACTCTCATGGAAAGTTTCTGCATCAAGCTCTGTCCTATATATGGAAGAGTATAGAATAATTACAAATAAACTGTGTATTTTATATAAATATCTACATGGCCTCGAAAAGAATCTCAAAAATAGCCAAACATGTTCACTACGAGCTGAAACTTGTATACCTTTTAAAAATACTTACCTCCAATGCAAACATTCGTTTTAACAGCATTTTATTTTCATTGTTCTTAATCTTTTCTTCATAAAACTCCCGAAATGTTTTTTTGTACACTAGTTTCATATTGTACTTCTTTGCCATTCTGTCCAAAAAAAAAAAAATTAATGAAAGACTTCCAAAAGTTTGTAAATCTTCAATAGCTTACTTGTGTGTAACAGTGACATCTTCTGGGCTTAACTAAAACGGCAACCATATTGTCCATAAATCCACAACAGGGCAATGAAAAAAAATTAAGAGTAACATATCAATAACCATGTCTATAAGGCAAATTCTAAGTCTCAGTGGGTGATCAGAAGCTTTGTGAAAGTAGTAACAGGTCAGGAGGGGAAAAGTGCGTCATAGAGCTATAAGATGGAAAGTAGAGCAGAAAAGAATAGCTTTTCTATTGATTACATATTTATCTTACTTGATATCCCACAGCAGCACTGAAAACAGCTATACACATTCTTTAATCTATTGGATTCTCTGTCATGATATAGTCTTAATCTTGAGCTGCTGCATCTCAGTCTCGTTTACAGATGCCTCTTTCATCCAGCTTTGAAATTTTAAAGTTCTGAAAATATGGTACTGAGCTGAACCTCCCCAACCCAACCCGAACCTATATATTCACAGCACATCAGTAATTAATCTGCAGCTTAGTTCTCCATCATAGCCATATACTCCATCACATACTAGAAATCTCTATCTGGATGTGTCACAGGCATTTTTTTAACTTACTATATCCAAGGCTGAACTCCATAGGATTGCTCTGCTAAACTTTGTTATTTGAGCACACCCATCTATTGATTCATGCCAGAAATCTGGCCGTTATCAGAATCACTGCCATCTATGCTCAATATATGACTAAATCTTCTCCATTTTATCCAAAACATACTTCAAACAGAACCACCTCCGAGGACCTTCATTTGTCTCCATCCTGCTTTAATTATCATTCCCACTCAGCTATACCAGCTCAGCTTCCTTGTTTCCATTCTTACACCTCAATTAATTTTAATTGCAGCCAGATTATGCTTTCAAAAAATACATACCTGGTCATGTCTCTTCCCTCCTAAGTTCTTTAACTGATTCTCCAGTGCATTTTGGACACAATTCAAAAGTCTTAACACAACCTCCAAGCATTTATTTACAGAAGAATATTGCCTCACCTTGAGCCATTAAGTCCCTCACTCCCTAAGGTTCAGTGACAAAGGCTTCCCTTCAGTTTCTTGAACCAACCAAGTGCTTTCCCACTTCAGGGCTTTTACACACATTGTACTTTGTGCCTAGAAGTTTTCCCTTCAGTCTTCAAATGGCCAATACCTATTCATCCTTTAGCTCTTGACTTAATATCACTTCTTTACAGGTATCTTCTTAATTCTGAATTATATTAGGTCTCCCTTTACACTCTTCCATCGTCCTATCCCACTGAATATGCAGAATATATGGAGTCCTGGTATGGCGCTGCAGGATAATGTGCTGGATTTCAAGGTCAGTTTGAACTGCAAGGTCATCAGTTCACACCCAAAAGCGGCTCCTCGGAATCCCTATACAGGGTTGCTATGAGTAGAAAATAACTCAATGGCACTTAACAGCAACATCATCACCATATATATGTAGACAAGAGGGAGCCGAGGGAGGGGTACAGGCAACAGGAAAAGGGGGAGAGGAAGAAAGTACAAAGAGAACAGAGAAAGTCTGACCAATTTCACTAGGTGTTGCCATAATAATACTTTTGTTCAGTTTCTTAATAAAATAGCAAAAGGGCATCTGAAGACTCCCTATGGGCTGATGTTGGTTGTATGCTGTGCAGTCAATTCCGACTCAAAGCAACTCTGTACAGGGTCTCCGGGGCTGTAAATCGTTACGGGAGTAGAAAGTCTAATTTTCTCCCATGAAGCGTCTGGTGCATTTGAACTACTGACATTGCAGTCAGCAGCCCAATGTATAACCTACTATGCTACCAGGGTTCCTCTAATAACTATTTATTGTTATTTATGTCTTCTCTAATAACTATTTAGTTAATGTGCTGAACTGCAAAGTTGATTTGAACCTCAAGGCGGTTCAAGCTTACTAGTCACTCCTAGGAAACCCTATACAGGGTCACTATGAGTCAGAACCAACTTGGCGGCACTTAACAACAACAAAACAACAAATAACTGTTTGAATAAATAATAATAAAAAATAATTTATATATCCAAAGTGATGACTTGTGGTTTCAAAATCTTAATCATCACTGATGGTGGTGGTGGTGGTGTGCCGTGGAGTCGGTTCTGACTCACAGTGATTCTGCAAGGCTTCCAAGGCTATAAATCTTTATGGGAACAGAAAGCCTCATCCTTCTCCCATAGAACGGCTAGTAGTTTCGAACTGCTGACCTTGAAGTTAGCAACACAACACACTACTAGAGCAGCAATTTAAACAGAAAAACCTGGTCATGTTTGCTTTGCATTAAAACAAAACTTTTATTTTAATTGTTTGCTATTTTTGGGTACACAAAAATCAGTAGTTTCATTAATCAAAACTCAAAAACCATCAGTCATATACTGAAAACACTGTCTAATTTCTTCTTTTATAAAATCAAAGAATTTTTTTCCAATTTCCAAAGAGTTTATTAATTTTAAGAATCAAAACCAAAATTCGATTTTAGCATTTATGTTTATAAATTTTCCACGGTCACTTAGTCATTTCCAAATCACAGTAATCCTACAGGACAGAGAAGTAGAGCTCCTTTAAGATTTCCAAGACTGTAAATCTTTACGGAAGCAGACAGCTTTAACTTTGTCCCACAGAGTGTTGTTGGTAGGTTTGAACCACTGACCTGGCTGTTAGTAGTTTAATCTTAAACCACTTCACTACAAGGGCTCCAATGCCAAATTACAGTGCCCTTTAATTTTCTTATATTACTGCACAAAAGGTTTAATACTGTAAAATGCCTAAAAATCTTATACCCATAATTTTACAAGCTGGTTTAGTCAGAATTCAAAACTTACCAGCCAAAAAATAAGCACACATAAAGCTGTATTTTCTCATTTAAAATAAAAAATAAAAGATTTTTTAAAAAGTAGTACATCAAGATCAGTAATGGTCTATGGTTAAGTTTACTGTCATAATCTCCATACCAGGGAAATTTCATGACCAAAAAAAGAGAATAGCAACAGATTAAATGACATTCTTACTCATTTAGCAATGGAAAATAGACCAAGAATTCAGGAACATCCACAACACCTTCCAAGTTGAAATCATATTTGCAGCCATATAAAGGATAATCTCCTTTCTTCTGAAATTTCACAGTATATATTTCATTTCCAAATGATTCTGTTTCTGAAGATTCAAGGCGTTTTCTGTAAGGATTGAGTCCCCGTACCACAAAAATAAAAAGATTAAAATTGTTATTAGTTAAGACTGCTGCATAAACTTTTTTTGATCTGATTATGCATGTGTAAAAAACTACATTATGAAATAAAAAATACCTTTGATTATTTTCTCAATTGGATTTGAGCTTTTAAGAGATAATATAATTAAAGACCATTAATTGTCTTAGCAATAAAATTAGACTGGAAGTAATTACAGCATCCCGACAGAGGGTTCAAGCTGACCTGCAGTTTGTCTCTGTTAACATCTACCCTGATATCACATCAATCTCCAGCTTACATTGTTGAGTTCTAACGTTCACCTACAAATGTATCTTGTGAACTTAGATTTTCAATATTTACTTAGATTATTAGCACATATTTAACTCTAAACACATAAGTCATTCAACAGACAGCCATACATTAATTCAATCATACGAACTTAACTAGTCTAACTAGTCAAATGGAGTCCTGGTGTGGTGCTGTGGGTTCATGTGCTAGACTGAAAGGTCAGTCTGCATAACAAGGGTGGTGGTTCAAGCACACCAGCTGCTCCTTGGAAACCTTACACAGGGTCTCTATGAGTCGGTACAGACTCCACAGCACGTAACAACAACAATAACTGATTTAATTGGGAAAGAGACCTCATAGTGCATTGGTTAAGCAGCTAAAATAAAAGATGATCATTCAAATCTACCCAGCAGCATGGCAAAAGAAAAGACTTGGTGACATGCTGATGTAAAGATTACAGCTTAAGAAACACTATTTAACAGTTCTACTCTATCTTTTGGGACTCCCACTGGACTGTGAATCACAAGGTCGGCAGTTCAAACACACCAACTACCCCCTTGGAAACCTTATACAGAGTCACTATGAGTTAGAACCAACTTGACGGCAATTAACAACAGCAACTCTATCTTACATGGTTGCTGAGTTAAAATCAACTTGAGGGCACAGTACAGCAGCAACAACTGGTGTGGTGTAAATGAGAGAAACAAATGCTGTATTTAAAAACTTCTGATGAGAAATGATGACTGTCTGCCAATAAAAATTTACTACTTTAAATTTAATATCACATGCATTATAAACCCTAATTCTGACACCTATCTGCAACTATTAAATAAAAACTGGTAGCGTAGTGGTTACGAATTGGACTGCTAACCTCAAGGTTGGCAGTTTGAAACTATCAGCTGTTCCACGGGATAAAGATGAGGCTTTCTGCTCCCGTAAAGACTTACAGCCTCAGAAACCCTGTACAGGGTCGCTATGAGTCGGAACTGATCCCACGGTACTTAACAACAACAACAACAGTACCATATATTTTTTAAGCCATGATATATTTAAAGGGAACACAAGTGGCTCTGTAGGACAAGCACTGGACTGCAAACAGCCATGCATTAATTCAACCATACAAAGTTAACTAGGTCACACGGTCAGAAGTTTGAGTCCACCAACCACACCCCGTAGAAGGGAGATGAGGTTTTCTGCTCCCACAAAGATTTACATCTTGGAAACCCTATACAAGGTCACTATGGGTTGGAACCGACTCAATGGCACTTAACAACCACAATAACAAAAATAATATATTTAAAAGTACTTACATTAGCTCAAAGCTATTGGGAGTGGTACCAATAAAATAGCCACCAGGGCTAAGTCTCTCACAAGCATTTCTAAGCATTTTGTCAGCCTGCTCATAGGACTCAAATGAGTAATGACAGACAAACTGACAACTGCAAATGTCAAAGTACATTTCTGGATCATGGAATTTGTCAATCAAAAGTTCCTGAAACAAATTAAAATGAGTTAAGATTTTAAAGTAACCACAATACAGATAAAATCTGTTCAGTTAAATTTATCTCTAGAATTTAGAGATCTTATGAACAAAGTAGACATGTAACTTAACTGAAAAGTTGGCAATTTGAAAACATGTAGCAGCTCCATGGGATAGAAAAACAGATAATCTGCTCCCGTACAGATAATAGTTTAGAAAATCCTATGAAGCAGTGCTTCTCTGCCATATTGGACCATTATAAGTCAAAAAATCAACTCAACAGGAGCCTAACCACAAATAAATCCTCTGACTAACCTATTCTTTCCCTCACATTAATTCTATTTAATAAGTGCCATATGAAATCATCCTCTTTCTCTGGTTCAGTAGTTTGACTGCTAAATATATAGAAACTTTATAAATTAATGATTCTAAAGTCATGTTAAAAAACGTAGCAACCAAATGTAACATTGGTTCATCCTTCCAGTTGACCTCACTCTGACAGCTAAAGAAAATTTTTTTAGCAATACTTTGGGGTAAAAACACAACAAAAAAGACTGATTTTTGGTATTTAAAAAAATGCAAAAATGTTTTAAAGAGTTCCAATTTTCTAGCAGCTGGACTCCTGGTATGGTGCTGTAGGATCAGCATAAGACTGCAAACCACAAGGTCGGCAGGTCAAACCCACCAGCTGCTCCTTGGAGATACTATATAGGGTTGCTATGAGTCGGAATCAACTAGACGGCACTTAACAACAACAACAAGCAGTATGCTACCATCTTTCTTTCTTACTTTCAAAACCACAAACACAATGTATATGATTAAATACTTTTAGTACTTAATCAGACAAGTGCCCCTGCAGGTTTTAAACTTCATAGTTGCTAAACGATTCAAAAATAGCTAGGTGGTGGAAAACAACAGATTCTGATATGTTGTCAAAGTCTCCTAATACATTTTAAGATGAACAAAGTATACTGTAAGGTCAGTTATATTTCAAAATACTAAAAAATTAAAACAGAAAAGTAGCTATGACTTCAGAAGTTCATATTATTAAAAGAAAAAGAGTCTTACAGTAGTGAGTTCTGTTGTGGCACTGTGGGGGCAATGTGCTAGACTGCAAAGTTGGTTTGATCAGCAAGGTTCAAGCTCACCAGTTGCTCCTTAGAAACCCTACACAGGGTCAGTATGGGTCAGAATCAACGCGATGGCATTAACAACAACCACCATAATAGAATATCTTGTTGAAACTAAATACACATGTCCTAGGATTTATGTCTCAAAGGACATGAAACCAATGAGTTGATTTTTAAAATAAATCATTTACTCATTGCAAAAAATAGACAAACTAAATAAAAAAAACCTCAAAAAACTGTACCTTTGAGCAATCAGCAGTTATAAATTCTGCACTAAAAATATATTCATTATCACGACAGCGATGTTTCATGTCTTCATACCGCTGCTGGCACTGTTGGACAGAAACACTCGCAATATCTAGAGAGGGAAGACAGGGACTATTAACACATACCCAAACACTAAGAAGTGACAAAATGCAAATGCAAGAATTACAACAATCCAGAAATTCACACTAAGGAAAATTTCTATATCTTTTAAAATAAAAGAGAAAAGAAGCTATTATTCCAATGTAAATTCTGTATTCATTTTCAAAAAGAACTAAAGGCTTTTTCAGTAGGCACTGATAACTGAAAAGTCCTACCATATTTTTCAATGCTTACTCTAAGTCAAAACCAGAAAACTTGAATTCAAATTTGAAATATAAAACCTAACACTGTATATTCTTTTGGAATTCTCAGATTTCTAACACGTATATTCATAATTCAGACAATACTTGTGGTTCTTGTTAGTTGCCATCAGATAAGCTATAACTCTAAGTAACCCCTGTGAAAAAGAGAACAAAACACTGTCTGGTCTTGAACCATCTTTATGGTCACTGGTGCGGTTTGAGTCCATTGTTGCAGCCACTGTGCCAATCCATCTCATAAGGAAGATTTCCTTTGCCTTTGCTCACCTATTCTACTTTACTTAGCATAATGTTCTTTTAAAGTAAGCCATTTGAAGTCTTGAAAAATATTCCATTATCCATAGGTTTTTTTCACTGGCTCATTTTTGGAAATAGATCACAAGGTTTTTCTTTCTAGTCCGTTTCAGTCTGATTATTCCACTAAAACCTGTCAACTATGAGTGACTCAGCTGGTGTCTGAAATACTGGCAGCATCATCAGAGTACCATGAAAATAAACTGACAGACAACTGGTGAAAGTCATGCATGTTAATTAAAGTACAAGCACAAAAGGCTAAAAAATAAAAACAAATTCATTGAGAATAACTGAATACAATACTTAGTCATATTTTGTTTGTTTAATTTTAAAAAGATACAAAATTTACCAAAACCTGGAATAATAGTCTCTATTAAGGAGAACAACAGTCAAGAAAATGAAAATATCACCTCAAATAATCGGTAAATTGTTATTGTTAAGTGCAATTGAGTCGGTTCTGACCCACAGCAAGCCTAAATAGAGTTTCCTAGGAGTGGCTGGTAAGCTTAAGATGCCGACCTTGCGGCTCACACGGACTTTGCAGTCCCGGACATTAGCCCACAGTGCCACACCACGATTCTAGACACATTTACATCCAATTTTTAATTATTGCATACTTGCTATTTAAATAAACTATTATTATGGAGTGTAAATGTTAAAAACAAAACAATACTCATTGCCACTGAGTTAATTCCAACTCTTGGTGCTCACATGTATTACAAAGCAGAACTGCTGAAATGCTATATAGGGTTTTCTTGACGGCAATTTTTACAAAAGCAGATTGCCAGATCTCTCTGTCAGGTGGATTCAAACTGTTAACCTTTTAGTGAGTGGCAGTGGTGGTGGTGGTATGTGCCCTGGAGTTGGTTCCAACTCATAGCAACCATGTATGCGGTTTCTGAGGCTGTAAATCTTTACAGGAACAGAAAGCCTCACCTTTCTCCTGAGAAACTGCTGGTAATTTCAAACTGCTGATCTTGAGATTAGCAGTCTGACTAGTAACCACTATGTTACCAGAGATCCTATTTAGTGAATTGTTGTTGTTGTTAAGTGCTGTCTAGTCGGTTCCGATCCATAGGGTATAGGGTTTTCAAGGAGTGTCTAGTAGGCTTGAACCATCAATCTTGTGGTTCAAACTGACTTTGTAGTCCAGCGCCTTAACCCACAGCGCCATACCAGGACTCCAGTTTAATGGGTGGTGGTGGTGTGCCGAGGAGTTGGTTCCGACTCATTGCGACCCTGCATAGGGTTTCTGAGGCTGTAAATCTTTACAGGAGCAGAAAGCCTCATCTTTCTCCTGTGGAACTGCTGGTAGTTTCAAATTACTGACCTTGAGGTTGGCAGCCCAACTCGTAACCACTACGTTTTGTTGTTGTTAAGTACTGTGTTGTTAAGTACTGTTCTGACTGGGTTTCCGAAGCTGTAACTCTTTCTCCCATGGAACCGTTTGTAGTTTTGAGCTGCTGTCACTGAGACTGGTAGCTCAACTCGTAACCACTATGCTACCAGAGCTCCTTACTGCTAGTTGAGTCTAAATCATTCACACCACCAAAGGAATGATCAACTTCTACTCCATTTTAAAATGTAATACTAACAGATGGGCTTAATTCATATATTTCCTTTATCTCCAATTTCCTCTATTATGTTTAACTTTGTTTTTGAACTTTTTATTTTGAATTGAGTCAAGGTTTACAGAGCAGATCATCAATTTTACATTCAACAAGCCACATGCTTTGTTTCATCTCAATGTTTGCAAATCCCTTTCATGTAACAACAGTAATCCCATTTCCTCCCTGTGATTCCTGTTTCCATTCCAATCTTCTTCCCAATTCCTTTGAACCTTATCCAAATGTAAATATTGCCCTTTTGATCTTGAATGGTTAACCATTCCATGGTGAGTATATTTCACTAGCGTTGTTCTCACCTTATGCCTATCCACCTCCACCGCTTGGTTGGAAATTGGGCCATGAGGCTGTTTCATTCCAGACCTGAAGAATAGTCAAGGCCCATAGCCTCCAGTAAGCATAGTCTTTTTATAGTTTTGAGTTTGTCCGACAATTTCTCCCACTTGATCTGGGACCTTCTAATGTGATTCCTTTCAGAGCAGTTGGTAGTGGTAGCCAGGTACCATCTGGTCTCAGAGTCGTGAAGAGTGATATTTATGTGGCTCATTGGTCCACTGGACTAATTTTCAGCACTCTTAGTTCTTCCACACATGGAGAGACCTTAAGATACCTGTTTATGAGCTTTTAAGATCCCAGTTGGAGTCCTGCTGTGGTGCTGTGGGCCAAGGCGTCAGACTGCAAAATCGTTTGAACTGCAAGGGGTTCAAGCTCACCAGCTGCTCCTTGGGACCCCTATACAGGGTTGCTATGGGTTGGAATCGACTCGATGGCACTTTACAACAACAAGATCCCAGTTGCTACTCACCAAATTAGGACAACGAGCATTGTCTTTGTGGACTATATGTTTTATTAATGTTGTTTAGTATCATCAAGTCTGTTCTTGACACAGCGACCCTGGTATAGGTTTCCAAGGAGTGGCTGGTGGGTTTGAACCACCAACCTTGCTGTTAGCAGTCAAGTGCTTATTTCACAACACCACTCCAGCTTTTTTTTTTTTTTTCCACTCTACAGAGTTTATTGGGTTTATAACTGGACAAAGTCACACATGTACAAAATGAAGCTCACACTATCCCAAAGTAGAGTAGGGACTGAGGGCTGGGGATCCTTTACTGGCCTTTGGGGAAGCTCCGAGGTGAAAGGCAGCCAACCCTACCACTCCAGAGAGATGTGGCCACAGGCACAGGATGAGAGGGGGCCCACCTGGCTTTGGTCACAGAACTCATGCCTGGCACAGGGCCAGTACAGACATGGAGGAGCAGGAGCACCAGAACCTCCCCTGCCCAGGGAGTCCAGGGACTGCTCCACCAGTCCTGCTCGCAGTGGGGTTGGTCAAGATCTAAGACTTAGGAACTGGTGCAAAGGGAAGGCAGCAAAGCAGGAGAGGGGAGGAGACACTGATGTGTGGTAGCTGGGGGCACCTGGGCCTGTGGAGAGGGTGGCTGGGGGAGGTGGGCTAGCTGCCACTGGGTAGCTAGCAGCGGGTCTCATAAATGCCACTGTGGCCAATGTAGCGCACCCATTTGATGACGTCATGGTCGCTGTAGTTCAGCTTCAGCTCAAACACCTTCAAGTAGCGCACCTTAAGGCCAGAAGGCGCTAATGGCACCTCGAAGTTCATGGAAATGGGGGGTCGAGCCCATTTCTTCTTGTCGTTGGTGGGCAGAAGCTCAATTTCTGCACCGATCTGCGATTCCTTCATGCCTGCCATTCGCTTGATCTTCCAGACGATGGCATTCTCACTGGCTTTGTACTTGGCCTTGCCCTTCATGCAAATCACCTGCACCCCGCTTGTGTTCAGGGGAGTCAGGATCCTCACCTCAATCTTTTGGGCTAGCAATGAGTGCTTAAAGTTGGACTTGATGACCACCTTGACCTCCAGCTTAGTGCGCCCCACTTCCCGCACCAGTGGGATCACGCGGAAAGGAAGGATGATGTCCTTGGTGGTGCGGTACCTCATGAGCTCAAATTCTCCCATCAGGAGGGATGAAGCTGATGCTGCGTTTAGAGTCAAACTTGCTGAGTCGAACACACTGGTGAAAGGTGCAGTCATCGATGGCAACTGATTGCTTCCCGCTCTTGCTTGTCTCATCAGCTGTGCCCTTGCCCTGCTTCTCAATGACAATCTTGTCATTCATCCCAAACTTACACTCAGGCATGCCACTCAGGTAGCTCTTCATCACCACCCGGCCTGACACATGGGCGCTCAGCACCTGTCCCTGTGGGGACATGAGCAGGTTCACACTCTCCAGCACATCCAGGAAGAGCTCATTCCGGCGATACTTGATGCCTTCTCGCCGCCAGCCAATCTGCCCTGTCACCTGGCTGGTGATCTGAGACTGCTCTTCTTTTGTCTGATGCTGACTCTTAATGCCCTGCTGAGTGATGAAGGTTTTCAGCACACCTGTCTCAGAGTTCTGTGGATAGCCAAAGTCCAGGATCTCATCCAGCAGTTCATATATGAGCACAAAATTGTTCTTGATGTTCTCTTCACTGATCTTGACAAAGTAAGCGGCCATTACGTCACACATTTTATAGAGGAATTAGAAGACCATGGCAGCGTTGACATTCTGCTTGGTGACAGCCGCCAGCCAGATGTTGGACCGCTTAACATGGAAGAAGCTGGTACGAGTGATGTTGGTGACGGGCCTGCGCACCTGCTGCCGGGCATGGATAACATTGACCCGAAAGGCATCCACTGCATTCCTCCCGATGTCATCTCGGTAAACCCGGGAGATGAGCACCTCCCCTTTGTGATTATAGATGAACAATCCTCCAATCATGGCGGCAGCTCAGTCTCCGCTGCCCATCGCTCT